CCTCACAATTACTCAAAGCACTTATCTCTAGAGAGACTTAAATTGAAGTGCTTTACCATCAATATTGACTTGTTATTACCCATATGAACCTACTTCATGGGATCACCAATCACATAGGTTGGGTTACTGTCTCTATTGACAACTTGTTGGTCGAAGTCCCATTTCTTTTGTAGTTTGAAGAATCAATTTTCTTCCTACGGGTTTAGTCAGAGGATCGGCCAAATTCAACTCTGACTTTACATAATCAATGGAAATAATTCCATCTCTAAGCAGCTGCTTTACGACATCATGTCTCAATCTCATGTGTCGACTTTTACAATTATACGATTTATTTTTAGCTATGGCAATCGCTGCTTGACAGTCACAATGTATGGACACAGGAGGCAACAAATCCTTAGTTGAAGGAATATTAGCTAAGAAATTTCTCAACCACTCGGCCTCAGTCCCTGTCAGTTCCAGAGCTACAAACTCTGACTCCATTGTTGATCTAGCAATGATTGTCTGTCTAGCAGATTTCCATGCTATTGCACCACCACCAAGGGTGAACACATAACCACTAGTGGATTTCGTATCATTTGAATCAGAGATCCAATTAGCATCACTGTAACCTTCTAATACAGTGGGAAATCCACTATACAGGATACCAAAATTCATGGTACCTCTCAAATATTTCATTAGTCTGACTAATGCAAACCAATGCTCACGGTTGGGATTATGAGTATATCTACTCAGTCGACATACAGCATAAGCTATATCAGGTCTAGTAAAATTCATCAGATGCATCAGACTCCCAATAATCTGAGCATATCTAGACTGAGCAATTGGGTCACCATTATTTTTCTTTAATTGAGTGTTAGCATCATAAGGAGTACTCACAGGTGTCACATCATAATTTTCAAACTTCCTAAGAAGTCTTTCTGTATAATGTTCTTGTGACAACATTATACCATCACATTTCCTTATGATTTTAACACCCAATATTATTTTGGCTTCACCCAAATCTTTCATATCAAAATTAGAAGACAAAAAATATTTAGTACTATTTACAATATCTAGACTAGTACCAAATATAAGCATGTCATCCACATATAAACTGATTATCACATATTGATCATTTATAATTTTGACATATACACATTTATCCACTTCTACAGACGAGAAACCATCTTTCATCAATACTTGATCAAATTTCTCATGCCACTGTTTAGGAGCTTGTTTTAGGCCATAAAGAGATTTAATTAGTTTACAAACCTTATTTTCTTGTCCAGATACAATACATCCCTCAGGTTGAAACATATAAATTTCTTTTTCTAAATCACCATTTAAAAAGGCTGTTTTGACATCCATTTGATGAATAACAAGTTTATGGATAGAAGCTAAAGCAAATAAAACTCGAATAGACGCAATTCTAGTTACTGGTGCAAATGTATCAAAATAATCAATATTTTATTTTTGAGAAAATCCTTTTGCTACTAAACGAGCTTTGTACTTTTCTATAGAGCCATCAGAGTTATATTTTCTTTTAAAAATCCATTTGCAACCAATAGGTTTTGCACCAGGAGGTAAGTCTACCAAAATCCAAGTTTTATTTGACAAGATAGAATCTATTTCAGATTTAATTGCTTCTTTCCAAAATTTACACTCAGGAGAAGAAATAGCATCGGAGTATGTTAAAGGATCATTATCAACAAGAAAGGTTTGGAATTCATTTCCAAATGAAAATTCTTTTCTTGGCCTTTTGCTCCTTCTTAATTCCTCAATTGGAATAATTTCCTTATTTATTTCAACAGGTGCATGAGAAATTTTACTAGACAGTGGAAAAATATGTTCAAAAAATTCAGCATTCTTTGTCTCAATAATTGTATTACAATCAAGTATATCACTTCTTAACACAAGAAATCTATATGCAGCACTATGTTCAGCATATCCAATAAACATACAATCAGAAGTTTTAGAACCTATTTTCCTTTTCTTAGGTTCAGGCAACAAGACTTTAGCAAGACACCCCCAAACTTTTAAATATTTCAAATTTGGTTTATAATTTTTCCATAACTCATAAGGTGTTTTGCCAGTCTTTTTATGTGGGATTCTATTTTGTAAGTGACATGCAGATAATATAGCTTCTCCCCATAAATTATCTGGAGCATGAGAACTAATTAACATAGAGTTCATCATTTCTTTTAATGTTCTATTTTTCCTTTCAGCTACTCCATTAGATTCTGGAGAATAAGGTGGAGTTATTTCATGTATTATGTCTTCCTGTTCACAAAGGTTATCTAAAGTTAAATATTCTCCACCCCTATCTGATCTAATTCTTTTTATCCTTTTATTAAGTTGATTTTCTACTTCAGACTTATAGGATAAAAAGGCATTATAAGTATCATCTTTATTTCTAAGTAAATAAACTTTGGTATATCTAGAATAGTCATCTATAAAGGTGACATAATACCTTTTCCCACCTCTAGTCATTGTTTGTTTTAAATCACCTAAATCAGTATGAATTAAATTTAATAACTCAGTTTCTCTATGGACAGTTATACAACTTTTCTTTGTTATTTTAGCTTCTGCACATATTTCACATTTGTCCATATTATCATTAATACCAGAAATTAGACCACATGATTGCATTTTCTTTATATAACCAATATTAACATGTCCTAATCTAGCATGCCATAAAGAAATGGAATCAACAATATAAGCAGAAGAAGATGCATTTTCATTTATCACATTGGAAATATTAAGTACAAAAAGTCCCTGATTACAATAGCCTTTCCCTACAAACACATTATTTCTTGTCATTACAATCTTTTCAGATTCGAATGATACTTTCACCCCAACTTTTCCAAGCAAAGCCACAGAAACAAGATTTGCCCGAATATTTGGAACATGCAGCACATCATTAAGAGCCAAAGTATTTCCTGAAGTGAGTTTCAATAGTACTTTGCCCTTACCCAGAACTTTAGTAGTTCGTGAGTCTGCAAGGTAGACTATTTTTTTCATCATCCCCTATTGAAGTATAGGAGGAAAACGCTTCTCGATTTGCACATATGTGCCGAGTAGCCCCAGAGTCTACCACCCATTCTTTAACATTAGCTGCAATGTTCACTTGAGAGATGACTGCAGCAATTATTTCATCTCCTTCGGTTAAATTAACCTTAGGAGGATTACCATTTGCTTTGTACCTTTATTGTATCTATACAGGGCAACATAATGTTCTGATTTTCTACAATAATGGCAATTGCCTTTCTTTTTCTTAAAGTTGGGAATATTAGGCTTGTAATTGGAATTTTTTAGTCTATTATACTGGGACTTATTGGCTTGCATATAGCTACAATACATCGTCAAATAATTCATTTAAGAGTGTTTGTAAAATAGTATGCCTACATACCTTATTGGCATATTGCCACGATTCTTGTATTTTGACATCTGTGGTTGAAGCAGGTTGGGACTCCGTTAGTGCATAGACCACTCCATGGATGTCGAGTCGTGAGTGTACTCGTTCTTGCCACCTTTTGAAATTTTCATTGGCGAAAATTTCAATTTTGGATACATCTGGAAAGGGCTTGGCGAATGGTAGTGCCACTGCAACAGTTGCTGATGAAGGCTGCGGGGTGCTAACATTGTCAGATGCCTTAGTTTCTTAGATTGTTGGATAATTGGCTACAACAATGTTAACACTATCTGCTTGAGTCGTGCGTAGCACTGTCCTAAGAACTATTTCATGAAATTGAAATGTTTCCCCAGGATTAAACAAGCCTTCTTTATTTATTGCGAACAAGAAAGACAAACTTTCTTCTTGTTGCAAACTAGAAGGACCAGAACTAGCAAATTAAACCAGCAGATATATATATAAAAGGATGAGAACAGAATTATCAGGAAGATATCAACTAACAAAAAAAAAAATAAAAGAGAGAGAGAGAGAGGGATAGAGCAGCTATCAAAAGATATTAACTGAAGCTGCTGGGGTGATTTTCTGAGGGAGAAGTGGATCCTATTTATAGACTTCAGAGTGAGGTGCAACCCTTCTCACTTCCGATGTGGGACAAAGACTGCAACCCTTCTCACTTCTCAATGTGGGACAGAGAAAATAATACTTCTCATTTTTTCGATGTGGGACAAAGAATATTTTTGAAATACTATATATTTTACAACAATCATGTTAGATAGCAGAAACTATAGCAAATGCATTATATTTTGCCAATGTTTTGGTACACGTAAGGTCAATCGTAGGTGCTACACCATGAATTTGCATTCAATTGCTACACCAGATGTAAATGCAGAATTTGTATATCCTTGGATGGGATTTGTTGCAAATGTTCCTGATGACAATAGAAATGGATAAGATGTTGGAAGCTGTGGCTCTGAGGTTAAGAATGATCTGACTATGAAAGGGTTTAATCCAATGACTGTGCAACCATTCTGGAACTGTGCAACATTATCAGGGTATGCAATAGTTGAGTTCAACAAGAACTAGACAGGATTGTCTTCAGGCAATGGCGTTTGAAGAGAATTTTGAAGCAGAGAATCTTGGTAGGAGGGATTACTATGAAGCATATAACGGGTGATAAGCATGGTTCAAAGTCGCGGTCACGGCCTGGACCGTTCCACGCCAGTCTTGGCATATCGGTCACGGTGAGACGCAAATTTTGAATCATTTAATATTCTAAAAATTGTAAATAATATTCAAAAATATGCTGAACAAAAATAATTAACAAAATTAACAAAAGAAAATTTGTCAAATGTAAATTTGTGAGTTGACTCGGACCAATTCGGCCGAGAGACTATCAGTATCGGAGACTTTTCAGACGAGTTCTCGGTGAATCAAGTATCTCGGAGTCATCTCATTTCGATATCATATCAGAGGGTTCGTTCCGGTGACAACTTAGCCGAGTTGTCTCGGTCTCGGCAGAGACTTTGAACCATGCTTCCGGGTGATAAGTGGTATAGATGGGTTGCCTGTGCTGATGATTATCATTCATCAGAATTAATTGGAGAATATCTTCAAGAGAAGGCAGATTTGACGACTATTGCTGATATTGAAGCAGAAGTGAAGTGAAGCAAATAACTTCACGGCTTATTGACAATTTTACCAAGGAAATACAAGATAACTGCAGGTCCCTCAGGGTTTGTGAGCGTAAATACAATGAAACTATTATACTCTCATTCGATTTGATGACTCGAAATGATGAGATGGGTCGATTCCATAATGAAAGTGTGTACTCATTCCTCACATCCAGAGAATGATATCTTTAGTTGTTAATGATTTGATGCAGTGTTATTTCGCTTTCACCCTTTTCACTAGTGACAATATCTGCATTGATTTTCCCTCACTTTCTTCCGTTCACATGAATCAGAGATACGAAAGATGCAGGACACCATGCTAATCAGTTGAAAAGGTATCTTCAGAGCATGCAGCCAGAGGCATGGAAACAAAAGCTGATTGAGCGTAAGAAAGAATTGGAGAAACGGGAGGTTCAGAATGAAATAGAGAGGCAAAAACTTGAACTACAGAATAAAATGGTACATATCTGAACATACCATTGAAGATAAATGAGAACAACCCAACCCACATTGAACGTATGCAATACTAGAATTTGGAACTGCAAGCAGAAAAAGAGAGCAACAATCAACAGAGGAATAGCATTCCAGCAGTTGAAATATAAACCACTCAAATCAAAAGCTAAAAGAGTTCGCAACCTAATGAAATTGTTAGCCTTGTTTTGTTGTTTAATAGATGAAACTTGACATTACTGTACCCTTCTTCTTTTGAGTTGTTCAACAATGATATATGATATGTTCCAGTCGCTGAACAATCTCTGTAGTTAAGCGGTTCCTATATCTATGAACTTCTGTCAAAACTGGTAATCAATTTAGAAAACAGATATTTGTCTGCTGTGTCATGATCATGGTTCGCCAACTCGGCCGAGTCATAACCAGAACAGTCCCTACCGTTCCGATACCGATACCCGAAACGCCGATTATACCATATCCGATTTGAATCGCTCCGAAACAGTTGATATTAACCGAGTTAGAACGGTGTAGAAGGATACCAGCCAAATTCTCGGATTCGACTCGGATATGAACCGGTCAGATCATAAACAGCAACAAGAACACAGAGAGTCGGCCACCCATGCTTTCTTGTTTTCTTTCTCAACCACAAAGACAAGATTTAGGGGAAAAGGAGGATAAGGGGAGAAGCATACCGTCAATTTCTGTGTGCCTTTTGCAGAGAGGGAAGGAGAAAACAGAGAGAAAGAAAAGAGAAAAGAAAGAACGAGGGTCACAGCAGTATCTAGAGTGATTATTTGGAGAAGCGAGCTGAAGGGGTTCTTCAATTTCTTCATCGTCCGGCTATGAAGGAAGGAGAGGAGAAAAACAGAGGGTGACGGCAGAGAGGGAAGGAGACAACAGAGGGAAAGGGAAAGTGAAAAAAAGAATGAAGTTGACTGCTGAATATCACATCTGGAGCTGAAGGGATCTTCAATTTCTTCGTCATCTGTACCGGGCGAAGGGGTCTTCAATCTGGCCGTGAAGGAGGAGAAAAAGGGCGAAAGGGAAATTGGAAAAAAAATGAAGAAAGGGACGGCCAAATCTGAGAGGAACAACACTAGTTGCAATGATCGTATGCTCTCCTTGGCTGCTGAAGAAGTGGAAGACAGCGTTGCTGAGTTGGATTCTGCATCATCTGTTGCTACTCCTTGGGATGTCTTTTCTCTCTTGTCCTTTCTCATTTATGGGTCCCTGCTTTGTAGAAAAGCTGGAAAGATTTGAAAAAAGGACAATTGGATAGTGCAAAAAAGCTGTTGTAGCATGTTTTGTCTTCGAAGTAACATGCAATTAACGTATCATGCTTTATTATGCTAAGAGAAGCTGGGGCTTTTGTACCGGATCAGGGAAAAATATAGAAGGAAAAATTGGAAGCACCTGAAGTTCAAGTTTGGCCCAAGTAATTAAGTGAAAATGCTTGTTTCTTTATATCTTTGCATTTCATAATATTATTTGATAAATATTTTTTTATTGTATTAAATAAATACCGTTATTTTCTTTGTGTATAGAGATTTGTATTGTATTATGTAAGATATGATAATTTTATTCTTATATATAATTATTTATCTCATATAAAATAGAATTAGAATGTACATTTGATTCTAAAATCATTTATTACTAATGCTATAGGCCCTTATGGTAATGACAGTATTATTTTATTTAATAATCAGTAACTATATATGATAATGTAGGTATTTAGTAAATTTAATTTGATAATTGTGTTTTTAATGGTATTTTTTATTTTTAGTCAATTTTTCAGATTTTGAAAAAATTTTATACACTATAATGTGCGTATCACCCGATATTTAACCGATATGCCGCGACGGATGTGGAACAATCGAGACCGCGACGTGACCGCGACCCGCGACGGCGAACCATGGTCATGATATGCGACTAAACTAGCTGGAAAATGTGAAGAGCGCTGCACGTTTGTTCAATAACTACTTGTAAAACTGAAAGAATCTCCTATATGTTTTAGGTCATTTGTAATTCAAACAAGCTGAAGTCCTTTGAGACGTGATTGGACCATTGTCTCCTCGATTCTTGATTTACTGACTAGCAAATCATTGGCAAAGCTGCTGCAGCAAGTCTCCAATCTTAAATTACCTGAGACAACTTCATTTTAACACTAACACTTTTTAGTTGAAGTCTTCGTAGTAGATGTTGTCAAAGAATAAACAAGATTTGCTCATTCAGACTGATTGACGAATTTAATCCTTTAATATGCCCCAAGCTTGCATCAAAACTATGTTAGACAAGTTTGCCTTAATACAGTCGTACATTTCTCCTCTGATGGAATGCTGATCTCATATTAAACTAAAGCACATTATATGGTTGATCAAATACAACTCAAGTCTTGACATTTAACTCATTATAATCTCGCCTTGGAATAGATTAAGAAGATATTAAATGCCTTTCACTTCCTTGTACCGGATCAAATCCTCAATATTCCACCTTCACTCCAAAAAGCCAACAGGATCAAGTTCTTGGTGAGGGATCAATTGTGATGTGACAACAGTCTTAATTAAAAACAGAACCAGGTGGTGGAAGTTTACATTGTTAGTTTGCAGATGACGGAAATGCTATAATCTGCTGGTCCTTGAAAGACTTCCCATGTCTTTGGCTTTCTGGCGGAGAACAAATTTTTGTATTTTTCCTGTTGAAGTTTTTGGCAATTCCTCAAAAACAACAGTTCGTGGAGCCATATAATGTGGCAAATGATCACGGCAATACTTGATAATTTCATCTGCATTTGCATTACAATCATCCTTCAATTTGACAAATGCACAAGGTGTTTCACCCCAATAATCATCTGGTCTTCCAACAACTGCAGCTTCCAGAACTGCGGGATGGCTATAAATCACTGATTCCACCTCAATCGAGCTAATATTCTCCCCTCCTGAGATGATAATGTCTTTGGATCGATCTTTTAATTCTATGTATCCATCAGGGTGTCTCACCCCCACGTCCCCACTTCGAAACCATCCACCTTTAAAAGCATCAGCTGTTGCTTTACTATCCTTAAAGTATCCATTCATGATGGTGTTGCCTCTGAACATCACCTCACCCCTTGTTTTTGTGTCCGGTGGTACGCTTTGCATTGTTTCTGGATCTTTGATATCGAGTTCTTCCATGCCAAGGTGGTGCAACCCTTGACGAGCCTTGACCTTGGCCTTTGCATCAGGTGGTAGTGAATTCCACTCAGGTTTCCAAGTGCAAACTGTTCCAGGATCCTATGTTTCGGTCAAGCCATAGGAATGAGTAACATTGAATCCCAGCTCCTCCATCTTAAAAAGTACATGAGGAGGAGGGGGCAGCGCCTGTCATCACTATCACTTTTCCTAGAAGCAGTCTCCGATCAACAGACGGTGCATTAATTATCATATTTAATACTGTAGGTGCACCACCCATGTGGCTCACTTGGTGCTTAGCTATGCACTCAAAAATCCCTTTTGCAGTTACATTTCTTAGACAAACATTTGTGCCGCCCTGTGCTGCAACGGCCCAAGTAAGGCACCAGCCATTGCAATGGAACATCAGAACAGTACACAAATAAACAGGCATGGATGGCATTTCGTTTAAAAGAGCAGCTGCCAGAGAATTGAGGTAGGCTCCTCTGTGACTGTAGACTAGAGGTGGCAATATGGATAAATGGTTCATAATTGGTTTTGACTTAATGGATGGTGGATGAAATTTATCCAATCCATTTAGATCCATTTAATAAATGGATCTAAATGGATGGATCTAAATGGATTAAATAAAAACCAATTATCCATTTATAATCCATTTAAATATTTTTGTTACTTTTTTTTTTGTATTACCATTTCTTGTAAATTCAAGCCACAAAATACCACGGATGTAAATTCAAGCAAAATGAACCTTCATTTCACTAAAAAACTATCTGAAATTATTATTATTATTATTATTATATATATATGTATATATATATTACATATTACAGAGTAGCCATATATTGCAAACTAGCCCAAACAATAGAAGTCCTGCATAGACCGTTTGTAGGGTATCTACAAAAATACCAACACTGGCTTTTATTCGTACTCACACAACACTTGCAATGTCTACTACTAAAGCCACGGATGACTTTTGAGCTCAACATCTAGTAATCAGGTGCATGGGTGTACCAAGCAGGCCATGTTCCCTTTGTCCTGACCTCTTCAAAGCCAATCGAAATCCCACGTACTGTGGAGTTTAGAAGAAGAAACAAAGGAATAATTAATTAGTTCAGCAGTAAACCCCAACATTCAGTTTCAGGGTTGGTTACCATTCACGGGAACGGCTTTTTCACACCCCAACAGCAATTTTAGGATGGCTCCTTTTTTAGTCATTTCCTTTCCCTCTCTTTTATTTGGTTTTTAAGTAAATGGATATATATGATTTTTGTGGATAATCCATATAAATCCATTTAATTTAATGGTTTTACTTTGATCAACCATTTAAAACCAATACTATAAATGGATAATCCATTATCCATTTAATTATGGATTATATGGATGGATAAATGGATCTCAATCCAAATTGCCACTTCTACTGTAGACAACACCTTTGGGGCTTGATGTTGTACCTGAAGTGTAATTCAAAGCAATAGGATCCCACTCATCATGTGGCCTTATAACCTCAAAGTCTGGTCTTCCTGATGCCAAGAAAGATTCGTACTCTAAATTGTCATTATTGAAATACATGTCACTAACCCTGGAAGATGAGCTAGCTTGGTCAGGAATCACAACTAATTTAGGCGTCTTGCTGCTTGTCTTTAGTAGAATTCCTAATGCCCCTTCTGCAATATGAAGTAACTGATAATCAACAAAAATGGCTTTTGCACCTGAGTGTTTTAGCAATGTCGACACCATTGCTGAATCATGACGTATATTGAGAGGGGAAAAAATTCCCCCGCCCCCGCCCCATCCCCTGCCCCGCCCCTGCAAAAAAAAAGTATATATATATAAATAAATATATATAATATGTAATTTAATTAGTTATAAACTTATGATAATGATATTATTAGTTAGATATATTATATAATATATATTAATGTATGCAATATAATTGATATTATCAGTTATATGAATAATTAGACATGTCTACTAATATAATTTATTAATTAGTTATACTAAATTTACTAATACATTTATACTAAATTTCTAATTACACTTAATAGAATAACACTTTTTTCTCGAAAAAAAGCACAAACACAATAAATGAATTAGTGATTGTATTTGTACAAAAAGTGAAAACTTGACTATTTTAGTTGTATTTATTTCATCATGTTGGATTGTATTCAAATAACTTTTGTTTGATTGTTTTTATGAGTTTCAATTGTAAAATTACAATGAATAATAACTTGATGATGTATTGATATTTTAGTATTTGATAATTTATTAAAATTTAACTATAATAAAATTTTATTAACCCCGCGACGACAATTTTATTAACCCCGCAGGTGGAAGCGGGGCGAGTGGGAGGCGGGGATGGGCGGGGGTCGGGGGAATTAATAGGCAACGGGGCAAGGGTGGGGAGGGGAGGGGTCCCCCGCTCCAACTCCGCCCCGTTGCCATCCCTAGACACACCACATCAGGTGGTTTAGACAAGAGAACACAGTCTTCTGTTGCATATGCACGCAAACTGTTTGACTTGTAATCCATGAAATACAGGGAAATCTAAGAAAGGAAAGAAAAGTTTTAAGGTTCTGAGGTAGTTCATGTTTTCAGCTACACTTGACGAGTTCTAGTGTGCTCTGTGTATAACTTGACAATATTTTAGGGAGAAATGTGGAGGAGTCCATTCAATAGGCCATGGACAAGTTGAATTCAAAGTTTCAAGCTTTTCATAAAGCTCAAGCCCTCAGGTCTAGCTAATTCAGTGTACCTATATCTTAGGAAACTCAACCTTACTTTCAAATTTAAGCATGTGACAAGACTTGATTTAGAAGATCTTCTAGGCACTCAATGTTCTATAACAAAACGTTTACTTTTAGCCTCATCACAAACCAGCAGAAATATTTTCAGCCAGCAGAAGTATTACTTCCAGCTCATCAAGTCCTCTATCAGAAGTATCATTAACCAGCAGATGGAATTTCTGGTATACTTATCAAGAAAGGAACCTCATCATTGTACCATAACTGAACAGCAAGACATAGCTAGACTGCAGGATTCAAAGAACTTTGCCAAAACATTCCAATGGTTAAAGCACACAGATATTAGCACCAGAGATGCTTGAAGCTACATTCAAACTTGAAAAAGCACCTGAAGTTCAGATATCAAGATTAGACCTATTCAAATACAAAAGGTCAACATTTTTGTAGCGTACTTGCTAGGAAAGTAGTGTTCGACAAACTCTGTCGTAAATGGCTGCTGAGAAACCAAAATTGACCCTCAAATGCACAATTCCATAAGTTAGCAATTTCATAGTGATATCTTTACTATAATGCTCCAGACACTCAAAAGCTTCTTGATAGGTTAGCATGTCTTTTACAGGTTTCAAGTAATCTGGTTCCATTAGGTGCCAAATTCCCCTTCCCCCACCATATCCATGCGACCTTTCTTTTTTTTTTTTTAACAAAATAAAAAAGAAAAAGGTTGAAAGAATTTAGAGTTGGGTAACAGCAATAAATTGCATAATTAAACCTCCGACTACTACAAAGTCACTGAATTGAGGCATGAAAATGACCCACCAAAAAAATATATATAAGGGGCAGTTGGTCCCTTGTGGGCTCATTGAAATGGAATCAATCTATAGTAATGATGTCAATGCATGTCTATTCAACAACCCGTGCAATGATTGATAGAGACAAAAAATACCCAGATGATATCATTCCAAACAAAGGCAGAAATCATTTTTAACATTCCAACTAGCTCCCAACAACCAAGTAATCAGAAGAAAATTACAATCCAAAAAAAAAAAGATTCAATCGTGATAATTAACCAACAACAGAACAAATTGAAGGACTTTTAATTACAGAACAAATTGAAGCATAGAAATTAAAGAAAACAAAACGAACTGGACAAGAAGAAAATGCAGGTAAATTGTGAATAACAAAGAAAGCCCAGAAAATTCAAGGATTAAATGGGAACTTACAACATCATGACGGGAGATTCCGAGGGAGTGAAGAGCAGAAGCGAGTCTGGCGCACCTGCCACGAGTTTCTGCCCAAGTGAACTTTAAATCGCCATACACTACTGAAATCCTGTCTCTGTATACAATTGCCGAACGCTCCAAGAAACTTATGGGCGTCAGAGGTACATAATTTGCTGAGCATTTGACAGTACCCTCCATTGATGATTCTATCCTTTTATCTGAAAATCCAAAAGAGCGCTTCTACTATCAACAGGAAAGTAGATAAGAGAGGTTGTTTTCCTGTTGAAACTTGGGCGATGGATTGTGCAGTATCGTTGAAGTATGCTACAAATAAATGGACCCTTCCTTGCGTGGGGTGTGAATTTACCGAATGAGGCCTTTGTTGACTCAGCTGCAAATTGAAGGTTGGCTATATGCTGCAGATGTGACAACTTGTCGGCAACAAGGTGTGGCTACGAATTGTTGGCAACTTCCAGGAAGTCTCCTCTTTAGAGTGTAGCTTTGCAAAAAGTGGAAAAATTTGGAAGCGCAAAAAGTTGTGTGGAAAAATTTCATTCCCGCAAGTTTTAGCCTCCTTGCTGCCCTTAGTTGCCAAAGTTGAACCATATCCTTCCTTGTCTCATCGCAGAAAGCATCCCCCATCACCATTGCAGAACACTTTCATCCTAATTCCAATCCCAAGCGAGAAAAAATGGCTGATACTGCTGTTAGTGCTACTATTCAGGTTGCATTGCAGTCGGTTGTTTCCCTTGCCGCTGATCATGTTAATCTGGTTCGTGAATTCCCAACGGAGCTGGAGAGACTCAACAAATCTGCTGAAATGATTCGAGGCTTCTTGGCTGGTGCCGACGAGCAAATGCATAGCTCAGACGTGAAAATTTGGCTCAAGCAGCTGGAAGAAGAGGTTTTCAAAGCTGACAATGTGCTGGACGAGCTCAACTGTGAAAATCTTCGTCGGAAGGTGAAGTATCGAAATCAACTCACGAAAAAGAAGGTATTCTTCTGCTTTTCATTCTTTAATAAAATTGGTTTTCGTTGGAGGTTGGGTTCAATGATCAGGGAGATCAACACGAACCTTCAAAGGATCCATCGGGATGCAGAAGGTTTGGGACTGGCCTACAAGCACCAAGTTGAAGATGCATTCCCTACTATTGCTTCTGGAGCCACAACAAGCCGACAGACCGACTCTACTATCGTTCGAGGAGATGTCCTAGGAAGAGACGAGGATGAATCAGAAATAGTTAAGAAGTTGTTGACCGAATCTGAAAGTGTTATTTCAGTTATTCCCATAACTGGCATGGGTGGATTAGGCAAAACAACTCTAGCTAAAGCCGTTTACAAAAATGAACAAATTGTTGGACATTTTGACAAAAAAATTTGGGTTTGTGTGGCTGAAGAAGTAGATAAAATCGAGAAGGTCTTCAAAATGATTCTTGAATCGTTAACAGGAGGAAAGGTTGAAGGGGATCGTAGGGAGTTATAGTTCAAAAAATTCAAGATGAACTCAAGGCAAAAAGATATTTCCTTGTTCTTGATGATTTGTGGAATGATCAAGAAGTATTGTTGAATGACTTTTTCAGCACTTTGGCGGGACTCAATGCGAAGAAAGGGAGCTGGTGTCTTGTTACCACTCGTCTGCAAGAAGTGGCAATTATTCTGTCTAGACATCCGCAGATCAATTTTACTCGCCATGAGCTAGGAAAGCTCTGCAATGATGATTGCTGGTCTATCATTAAAAAATGGGCAACTTTAGGGGAAGAAGTACCAAAAGAATTGGAAGACATGAGGCACCAAGTTTTAAGAAGATGTGACGGTCTACCTCTGGCAGCAAAGTTAATCGGAGGTTTGTTATCTAAAAAGAGAAAAGAGGAGTGGCCATCTATTTTGGAGGAGAGTCTCTTGAATGGAGATCAGGGTGGGATCGAGCAAATAATTAAGGTGAGTTTTGATCATCTGTCACCTGTACCGGTTAAGAAATGTTTTGCATATTGCTCAATTTTCCACCAAGATACTAGATTGGAACAAGATCGACTAGTTGAGCTTTGGATGGCTGAAGGCTTTCTTCAACCGGATTCCCAAAATGAAAGAATGATGGAGAAAATAGGATATGAGTATTTGAGAATTTTGCTGCAAACTTCCTTATTGGAAGAAGTAAAAAATGAGTGGGGAACATGGTATAAAATGCATGACCTTGTGCATGATTTTGCAAAATCAATTTTGAATCGTAACGGTAGCAATCAGGACCGTTACCTTGCGGTATACTCACCCGAAAGAATCAATGAAAAAGCATCAGCATCACTTCGCACATTATTTCTGAAGGGTGGCATAGCTGATGATATGTTATCAAAGTTCAAACACTTACATGTCCTAAAATTGTTTGGAGCAGATGTCAAAGCGTTGCCGACCTCCATTGGCAAACTAATACATTTACACTTACTTGACATTTCAGGTTCTAGGATTAGAACTTTGCCAGAATCTCTTTGCAAACTTTATAGTTTGCAAACACTGAGAATTGGCATGCTTGTAGACGGTTTTCCAAAGGAGATGAGCAATTTGATTAGCATGAGACATCTTCACTATGATGATGATACAGGATGCGATGATGATGATGATGATGATGATGATGATGATACAGGACGTGAAATCCAAATGCCATCCGGGATTGGACGATGGACTTGTCTTCAAACGTTAGAGTTCTTTAACATAGGTCGTCAAGAGGAAGGTCGTGGTATCCAAGAACTTGGAACCTTGCAAGATCTTAGAGGCTCCTTGGAGATCAGAAATCTTGAATTAGTAAATGGCAAAGATGATGCTGAACTAGCGAACCTATCTAAAAAGCCAAATATGTATCGGTTGGTATTTGAGTGGGGCAATAGGGATCGAGAAAGTGATAATTGTGATGAAGATGTGTTGGAAGGCCTCCAACCTCACCCAAATTTAAAAGAGTTACAAATTTTGAAGTTCATGGGTGATCAGTTTCCACAATGGTTCATGAATTTGACATTGACATCACTGGTGGAGTTGCGGGTGGAGGAGTGCACAAGATGCAGAAAGCTCCCTGCGCTAGGACAGCTGCCATTCCTCAAGCGCCTCTATCTGACTAGATTGAAAAACACAACATGCATTGGGCTTTCATTCTACAGTACAAGTGCTGAGGAGGACGGCGGATCAGGAGGTTCAAGCACTATTAGCAGACAAACATTCTTTCCAGCCCTTAAAATTCTCTGGCTTAAAGGCATGAAAAATTTGGAAGAGTGGAAGGACGCACACGAAATGATGTCAACCGCAGGTGAAGTACATGTGATGGATGTGTTTCCCGTGCTGGAAAAGTTGTATATTTGGGGTTGCCCCCAGCTGACCACCATTCCAACTCCAAGTCGTTTCCCAAGTCTTGATGTATTGGAAATAAAAAGGAATTGCCATGTTTTGGTGGCAGAAAAGGTTTTGAGCAATATAACCAATCTCTCGTCCCTTGACTTAAGGGGTGACTTATGGGATCGTGGTGGTCAATGCATCAAGTCTCTAAAATTAGTGAAACGACCAGAGAGCAGCTTGAGTATTGATGGCTGTCACAGTCTACCCACTGCTATGCTTGAACGACTCTGTCTTTTTCCAACTCTTCAGCATGTAGAATTGATGTCTGCCCATAATATAACAACACTAAGAAGAATGAGTTGCGCCGCTTGTCTTAAGAGATTGACAGTCACTTTTTGTGAGAATTTACGGGAGTTGCCAGAAGATCTTTATCAATTTCAAACTTTAGAGGACTTGGAGATACAGGGTTGCTCGAGAATTAAATCATTTGGACATCCAAATCCTAAAAATTCATTTGGACAGAGAGGCCTCCTTAAGTCTCTTAAGCGATTTACTATCGATGAGTGCGATGAATTAACAAGATTACCAGCGGAGATGTTCGAGTCCTGTACGTCTCTCCGAAAGCTGACATTGTTCAAGTGCCGCAGTCTGGTCTCCTTTCCCCTTGATTTGCGACGAACCCCTTCTCTCCAGAGCTTCTCGTTATGTGGGTGTCCCAACTGGATTGCTGAGATGCCTAGTGGATTTGGCCATCTTACCAGCTTAAGGGAAGTGTCGATTGGTCCCTTCTCAGATTACTCAGTAATCGAATTTGATTGGGCTGGATTAGCATCTTCATCAACACTCCGGCACGTGTATTTGTATGGGATGCGTGACACGAAATCTCTGCCACACCAGCTTCAATGCTTGACTACCATCACATCACTATCTCTACGTTACTTCGGAGCAATCGAGGCCTTACCAGATTGGCTTGGGAATTTTGCGTCTCTTGGTGAGCTAATTCTGTTGGGTTGCCCAAAGCTTGAATATTTACCCTCCTTAGATGCCATGGAACGCCTCAAATTAAGACGTCTGGAAATTAGTTATTGTCCTCTATTAAAACGAAGATGCACTCCTCAAAGCGGCTCTGAGGCCAAAGATCTCTAATATTCCAAAGCTTGAAATTTGATTAAAAGTCATCTTTTTGAGCCATCGGGTAAGATTTCACTGCAAATTTTTGATTAATTGCTTTTCATTATTGGATATTGCTGTTCTTCACCATCTTATTCTATCCGTATTCCTCTACTTCTTCTGGTGAAATTACTCTCTCTTTCAATTTATAAACTAATTCTTGTCATTAACAAAGTAGAGTTACGAGCAAATTGAAAGACAATGAAATTGTGGATTTCATCTACTTTTCTGAACCATCGAATGAATTAATAAGCATGGTAAAATTCACTACTAAATGTGAACTTGGTACTGACTATTGTCCACGAAATTGACTGACATTGCAAGCGTAAACATTCAGCTTCAATGGGTATGTTCTTATTTTTTTTGTCACTGATATTTCCAAACAACATTAAAACCAATGAAACAGCAATTTGGGGGAGAACGTTAAAATTTTTGTTTTTACCGCTGGCATTTAATAGATGGATATGTTCTTAATATTCACTGTTCTCTCTCTGTAAGAATCTGCATTATGTTTGCCATAAAATTAGCTCAATGTCGATCAAGTTGAAATTGTTTGCAGAGGAACTAGGCTGCTGCTAAAACTATAAATTCTTATCATCTTTTAAAATTTTTAAAATTCAGATACCATAACATTATGGCATTGTAGGCCACAAGTGTCAGTGAAGCAGGAAGCAGTGATAGTGCCGAAAACATTGCGAAAGGCTCAAAAGTGTGCTCGAGGCAAAGTCAGCCTGGAACCTCTAAAGCATCTTATTGCACTTTTCACATTCTCCAACTGCAACATTAGGCTGTGGTTTCCAATCTTTTTTGAAGAAAGATGAGGAGGTATGTGGTTTGGAAATTTCTCCACCCAACTTACTAGAAGTACAAGGGAATTGCTCCAAGTTTGCAAGTATGTTTGAGTCATGTAATTGTGCCTAAATGTCGGGTGGTATCTGCACTAGTGTATTTTCTTTATGGGTTAATCAATGGAATTTAGCTTAATTTGTTGACTGTTTAGGATTTTGAGTGATAAATTGTTACCAGACCAAACCTTTCCGTGGCTCATGTTTCTACTTAATGTCATAATTGAAGCAGCATTGTGACATAATATTATGATTTTTTTTCCAGGATTTGTTTAGGAAGTAGAGATCATGCTTTTTGGACAAAGAACACCAAGGTTCTCGTGTTGTTCTTATGAGAATGTCAAGAGGGAGGAGTTATTTTCACTTATCAGTCAGTTTTTGAAGATGGAAGGTAGTTATCTGTGATTTTTCCCACCAGAATGCCACTCAGAATGTGGAAATGAAGGTAAAAAATGTTGACTGCATGTCTATTGGCCTGTTTCAATGGCTTTTCTTTTTTGTGTTTTTTATCTATTTTCTGGAAGTATTTAACAAAATAAATCAAATATTGAACCTTTTCTCCTTGTAGCATGCTGAAAACAGAGTGGCTTGTGCCAGGCTTGTAGAAAGTAGTATGGATTGAGAAGAATTAGAGAAGAGCATGGTAGCTGGTACTGGAGAGCTATCAAGGTACAAGACTTGCTTGAAGAAAACTGGACGTGCTAATACTTTAGTTCCATAGGTGACAAGATTTGATGGAAAGAAGTTAGACATTGTAGACAGCATTGGTGATCGTTTGGATGACATAAACGAAGCATGCGATTGCAGTGTAAGTCGTTCATTTGGATGGAATCAGTTCAAAGTTTTGGTGCTGCAATTGCAGCGGCAAAAATTTCTACATTCTCGTTCAAAGGTTCCCGCCAGATCTTGCAAGGCCTTTGTGAATTGGACAATAGGTTATACCTTTTTGCTCAAGAACAAGAGAGACTCATTATACAACTGTGCTAACAGTTAGTCATTCCAGGTACCAGGCTCAGTGTTGAATTTGTTTTAGTAAAATAACGTACCCTAAGTACCTTCTTGGTTCTTAACTAAATTATTTTGACATGTCTACTTCAAGATAAATAGTCACAATCCAAAAAATTGCAGTTTGAATGATCAATAAACAGGTTTTGTTATTGTAGCATTCTATCTGTTATGTTTTAGCTAAGAAAGACTAGCAAATCTAAAAATAATTTAAAATTATTAAGAAACCACTTGGAATATGTAACATTTCAGAAGGCTAATGAAGGTGGGAAATCAATGTTAAATGTTTCACATGAAGTTCTCCAACATGGTTTCACCTAATTACAGGTACTCTATCACAAAGTATCTGCTTGTTAGGTTAAATGAGCATGTTTCAGCATGCTCATTCAATGGAAGTTGATAAATTACTCTTAAGAACTAAAGGAAGAAGGAAACAACTTGCCAACACTGAAAAGATATTGACATCCATTACCTATTTCTTTCTGAAAACGGTTATTCTTTTCTGATTTTGTTTGGCCCAAAGATTTTAGTCGGTCAGGAGAAATCAGTCGGCTAAAAGAAGTTAATAAGAGAATTTATGAATGCTAGTACATGAATATAAATTTTTCATTTTTTTCTTCAGATTAGTTTGCCAAACTCTAGTTTAAGACGTCGTTTTAGAAAGAGAGGAAAGATTATCATCTTACTCTTCCTTTAACATTTAGTTAAACATTTAGCTTTGATCATCACTTTCTTTTCAGAAAGAATCACAAGGACAATTTATGCAAATTCAATTGACTTTTGCTACCATTACTTCCTTTTGGTTTGTTAATGCTCTGTTTTTTAGCCTTTCATTTTTGGTTATCTAGTAGATTGGTGATTTTTTTCCATCCTACTTGCATAAGGACTTACTTGCTCATGATAAAATATTTATAGAAATATCTATTTCAGCATTTTAGACAAATGTCTCATGGGCTATGTTGGAACATGTACAAAGCAGTGGTTTCCAAGCAAAAATGTATGGATGTTGATGTGGTAGACAATTGTTCTCTTAGGGAGTGAAGATCAGTCTTCTAGAAAGCAATATGTGACAGAGTAACATGGTGATGTTTTTTTTCCTGAATCTATTTAGGAAGCAGACATCATCTTGTTGGAAAAAGAACAACATGGTTCCCTGTCGTTTTTGTGAGAATGTCAAAAGGAAGAAATTACTGTCACTCGGCAGGCAAGTTTCCCAGATGAAGATGGTCATCAATTATAGTTATTTTGCTCATTAATTTGCACTAGCATTGATGGAGGCTTCTCAAACACCACGTAGAAAAATTGAAAGTGTTATGGTTCTGTAGTGCTCGGAATGCAGAAATGAAGGTAATGATTTGGCTAAACTTTTTGTTAGCCTGTTTCGATTTTTTTTTCTTTATCTATCTACTGGAAATGTAATTTGGTTCAGAAGAAGAGAAGATTTGATGATGGAAGCTAGATGTTGAAGATAGCAGTAACAGTCATTCGGAAAGCAAAAGCAAAGAGCAAAGCATGTAGTGGGATGGAAGAAATTCAAAGATTATGTGCTGCAAGAATATGTATTCACATGCAAGGGTTCCTAAGTCCTCGTTCAAAGGTTCAAGGAAGCACTACCGCTGGATCATGCAATGCCTTTGTCAATTGGACAATGGACTATACCTTTCCACCCAAAAATAAGAGAGATTCATGATGCACTTGTGCTAACAGTTGATTATTCCGGGTGTCCAACCTAGCTAGGTGTTGAATTTGTCAAGGTAAACTAACATATATTTACCATAATACCTTGTTGGGTTTTAACTTTTTTTTTATTTGAATAGTAGAAAATTAGAAATTTTTAACTTAAATAAGCAATAAATAGGTGCTTTTCAAGTAGCATTTTTTTTTTTGTGCTTTAGCTAAGAAAGATAAGTAGACCTAAGAATTTTTACCAAGAAACTCTTTTAAAATATCTGACATCTGTGAAGACCAATAGTAAATGTTACTCAAGGAAGTTTTTCAAGGTCCTTCATTCCACTTGATAGAGATATTGTGCCACAAGTCTATTCTGCTAAGGTTAGATGAGCATTTTTTCAGCGTAGCCATTGAAATGAAGTTGACAATTAACTCTTAACAAATTCAAGGAAGAAGGAAACTACTTGCCAACATTTATAGAATTGCGGCATTCTTTTGCTGCTTCTTTCTGAAAAAGGTTATCTTTTACTAGTCCATTTTTGTCCTAAGTATCTTAGTGTACAAGGAGAAATCAGTCTGCTCAAAAGAAAGCCCTTAGAGGCTAAATCCGTTGATTATTTGTTTTGAATTATAATACATGAATATCAATCATGACTTTTTTCCTTGGGTTATTATGCCAAACTAGCTAAGATTAGAACCTCACTTTGTAAGCATAGGAAGGATTGTCATCTCACTGATCTTCCGAGTTTTACATAGACATATAGCTTTCATTCTCATGTTCTATTAACATTGACAATATGCAAATTTTATTGCCCTCGCTAATTTTTGAATTCCATTTTTGGTTCATCTAGTAATTATTTGGAATGATCATCTTTCCATTACCAATTGTTAACAGTGTTCTTTGTTCATTGTCAACTCTTTATCCAATATATGTATCAATATTGAAGACAATCAGTGTCTAATAGGCTTTGTTGGAACATGTAGAAAGCAGCAGCTTTCGAGCTAAAGTGTATGAATGCAGTCTCGATGGATTAAAGGTTTACTTTGTTTCTCTCAAAGTTGGCATGTCTTTCACACACATATGGGACCTTTCATGTATTTTGCAGGTTTCTTCTGATCTGATTTGCTTGAGACAAAGGAATACATATGAAGGAACCATTTAGCTGGCATGGCTGAGACCTGTAGCCAATTTGGTTGATCTTGGTTCCAGTTTAAGCTGTCTGGATTGCTCTTTGTCAATCTCATGAATATGGATCTCATATCAATGGAAGCATTGAAAGTATGAAGATGAGACGGCAAGAATACCAGTAGCTAGCTGTTGGATTGTAGGCATGTAAAAAGTCTTTACTATACTAAAATTGTCACCCAGATAGCTGGCTAGAATGCATATATATATATTACTCTAGCTTGGCCTACAGAGAGATAAGATTTGAGGTTTTAATGTGACCTAGAGCTTTCAGCTTTTGAACTACTTAATTGACCATGCTTTGGGGAGTTTGATTTAGGTTTCAACCAACCATGAGTTCATAAAAATAGGGCTAAATAAGTTTGAATTTTACAAGACTTGCCTCAAATGACTTCAAAAGCTCGCTGAAAATTTCTCCTTCCTCAATTTGTCAAACCAAATCCTGACCGGTCCTCTTCCAGCTGTCCAAGGCATTTGGTTTTTCTTTAGGGATAATTTCATAAACCTTCCCGGAGGTTTCTAACAATTTTACTAGCCTCTTCTAAAGTTTTTAAAATTACACAAACCTCTCTTGAGATTAAAGTTTTAATAACAAAATTAATCAATTTAGAAAAAGTAACATTAAAAAAGTACTTTAAGGAGAGAGATGAAACTTTGATTTTTTAAATATTTTTTATGCATGTATATAAATTGTAATAGTAAAAGAATAAAAATAATTAAAAGTTAGAAACAATTAATAAATATATTTCACCAATCAAAAAGTTCACATTTAATGAACTAACAATATAAATAAGCAACAAAATTATACTAATGATCACAAAATTCAATAAAACAAACTAGTCATCTCTTTTAGCATGATGCTTGCTATGATTTTTGTGATTTTAAATAGAAAAATTTTCAAAATTTGCCTTTCTTTTTCCTCCATTCTATGTTTGCTATGAAGGGAAAGAAAGGCAAAATTTGAAATTTTTTTTAATTTAAAATCACAAAAATCCCCACCAAGGAAAGTCGCATCATTTTATTTCTGACTATTAAGGAAAAAAACCCCACCAAGGAGGCTCAGATATAAATTCAAAGCCAATCTTAATCTAATAGGTCCACAGGTTTATGCATCATGCACTATTTAGATCTATATGTTAAGACACTATTTCTACCCCTTTCAAACCAATACGACACACTTAAGCCTGCTCATGAACCTAATCCAGCCAAAGTATACATCTTCCGCTTTCATGTTCTGGAGAGGGAAAGAACCAGACTGTTGATAGGGCTCTTCATCATTCCCTGATGTTGTGAGATATTGGCAGCCAACTTTGTAAAGAAATCGTTCATTATACCATCTCCAGAGTGAGCTTGAAAGATGGGTTCATAAATAGCTCTCAAGCTCCTAGCCCTGTACTTGGCATTGGTGTTTGTATTGAAAACGTAGCCCTTCCCGCAATCTGTCGCCTCCGCACCAATCACTCGCAGTTGAATGGTATCCAGATACCTTATCTTAAGAGCACGATTTTTCTCAATGATGGTTTTTACTTCCTCCAAAGAAGGCCGGTAATGTGGAAGGTTGAAAGTATCGAGTGCCTTTTCCTCAATCAGTCCTGTACAGTTGACCCAGATGGGATCATATTTCACCGCACATTGTATCGAGATTGAGTGTCTATGAATCATTACCTCTGAAACCATGCCATTCATTGTCATCCCAAGTAAGTCCTGAACGTTATATGCTACGGGACCATCGATTTTAGTCGCCAAGGTCACAAATAAGTGTTCCCCAGACACCAATCAGCACGGACACTCGAGAAGTTTGTAAAATCTCTGTCAAATTGATCCAAATATGCATCATGCACACTCTTAGGACTTGTTTTACCTATGTAAATATTGCCTTTGTTCAGTGGCAACCCTTCCTAAGTCACCAACCTACTCGGGACCTGCAGCAGAGAGGTAGAGAAATACATGATAAGTACCATGTTTTGGGGCTTGGCATTGTCTTTCATATTCTATTTTGGTATACTTGTAGAATTCATTATGTTTGAGGCTAAGACTTGAATATTAATTTTCTAATTGACACCAAGGAATCAGTTTGATTTGCTGAACAACATTAAAGGACGTAATAAAATATGTGATGGCGAGTTTGGAAACTAAATCCAAACCTTTTCAAAGAGTTCAAAGATAATTTACCACAAAGGTTACATATTAGGATTCAAGTAGCATCACAAGTACTCTGAAAGTAAGATACAGACAAGTATAAGGACACAAATGTTTAATCGAACAGAAAAAAAAAACAGCAAAACTATTGCAAAAACTATTACAGATAGTAATAATGTAAAAATTATATCAGGCAGTCAGGGGTTTAGATAGATAGTAATGAAAATTAAGATAGTGAGGGTCCATAAATACCAACATAGCAATGCGTGTTAATAACAACAAAGCAGGAGATTGGCGAACCTGAGAAAGCCAATGAAGGCTGTAAGAAGAGTGTATAAAATGCATGGAGTTGTCAGCAAAAAGTCTTCCATAAAAGAGCCGGGCATAGCTGCAATGAAGCATGACCTTGAACCACGTCCATATGATTCCTCAAGTTTTTGATAAAAACTAGGCAATAATTTGAAAATGAAGTTGAAATCATTGGACATGAGATCATTAAGAAAACTTGAATATTAGGTAGCTTAAGAATATTCAGGTTATGGCATTCTCTATTAATGCTATCTATAATGCTTTCAACTGTTAACAACGTATTCGGTCAAGCAAATTCCACTTTACTTCCCTGTGGTTTAACGTTTTTTTACATAACCCTCTCATTGTTTCAAAAGCTATACATAACCCCATATGGTTTGGATTAAAGTGTCAAAGTGACAGGAATGACCATTCGTAACGGAGTCACCTAAAATATAAAAAATACCCTTATATAAAGTTAAAAATTATTTATTAATCAAGGGGGGTTATGTGTATATTTTGAAAACCATAAGGGGGTTATATGGTAAAGTATTAAACCATAAGGGGGTTATATAGTAAAATTTAAAAATCATACGGGGTTAATGTGTCATGTATTTATTAGGGTAATTTCGACATTTTTAGAAGTTCCGTTACGAGTGACTATTTCCGTCACTTTGACACTTTAATCCAAACCATGAGGAAGTTATGTATAGCTTTTGAAACCATATGGGAGTTATGTAAAAAATGCTAAACCACAGGGGGGTAAAATATAATTTGCCCTATTCGGTCCCGATGCACATCCCAGATCTGCTACTCTTATGCACTCTGCCTCTGCTAGGCTGGCTTGACAAAACCCCTGAATGCTCCGATTGAGTGCATGGTTGACATTCATAAACACTGATCTCCAAAGGGTAGAAACTGATTTTTGTTAGAAGTATTTACCATTGTTAATTAATCATATTTGTTTATGCTACCTAATTAGTGGAGTTAGTGGAATAACTAGTGGGATTAGTGGAGTACCTAGTGGAGTTAGTGGAGTTAGTAGTGGAGTGAGTGGAGTTATTGGGATAGTTAGTGGAGTTAGTGGGATAGTTAGTGGAGTTGGTTTAAACTCTATAAATAGAGTAATTTCATGTTATAAGTTGTGTGAGTTTTACAAAGAAATAAACATTTGTCCTTTGCTTCTCTTATTATTTGCCTCAATATTTGTATCAGTGGTACCAGAGCTAGGCTAGTGAGTGAAAACAAAAGTGAGTTGTGAGAATTGTAAATTACGATGGCCACCGACAATTTTGTGCAGCCAGCAACTCCTCGCTTTGATGGTCACTATGATCATTGGAGTATGCTAATGGAGAACTTGTTGAGATCCAAGAAGTATTGGCAGGTTGTCGAATCTGGAGTAGCAGAGCCAACAGCCGGAGAAATATTGTCAGAGGTGCAGAAAATGGAGTTGGAAGCACTGAAACTGAAAGATCTTAAAGCCAAAAATTATCTTTTTCAAGCTATTGATCGAGCCATTTTGGAGACAATTCTTAGCAAAGATACCTCCAAACAAATTTGGGACTCCATGAAGAAAAAGTATCAAGGAAATGCAAAGGCGAAACGGGTGCAGCTTCAAGCTCTTCGGACCGAATTTGAGACTTTACGCATGAAGTCAAGCGAATCAGTCACTGATTATTTCGCAAGAACGATGGCAATCGCTAACAAGATGAGGATCCATGGAGAAAACTTGAAGGACGTCACCATTGTCGAGAAGATTCTTCGATCAATGACAACAAAATTTAATTTTGTTGTATGCTGTATAGAGGAATCGAAAGATATTGATGCAATTTCAATTGATGAGTTGCAGAGTTCTTTGTTGGTTCATGAGCAAAAAATTAACCAGCAAGAGAAAGAGGAGCAAGCACTAGTGGCTTCAGCAGAAATTCACTCAACATGGAGAGGAGGCAGAGGCAGAGCAGGCAGAGGTAGAGGAAATAATGATCGTGGCAACCAACAACAACAATACCAGCACCAAGAAAATCAATTTCAAGGAAGAAGAAGAGGACGAGGAGGCTATCCATTAACAAATCAAAGGCCAAAGTCAGCAGACAAGTCCAATGTTGAATACTACAAATGTCATAGGTATGGCCATTATCAGTCCGAATGTCGAACTAATTTGAATAGACAAAATGGAGAAAGAACTAATTTTGCAGAAAAAGAAGAAGAAGTGTCTCTTTTGATGGTGTGCCACATGAGTGAAGAAACTCAACAAAACACATGGTATTTAGACACCGGTTGCAGCAATCACATGTGTGGAGATAAGAAGGCATTCTCTGAATTGGACAAGTCATTCCGTAGCACTGTCAAGTTTGGTGATAACTCTACAATTTCTGTTATGGGAAAAGGAAGGGTAATTATCCAAACTAAAGAAAATTCTTCTACCCACACTATTACTGATGTTCTTTTTGCTCCAGACTTAAAGACAAATTTGCTTAGCGTGGGTCAGTTGCTCGAAAAAGGGTACGAGATTTCAATCAAAGGTGGTGTATGTCAGATTCGAGATGCAAAGTTGGGCTTAATTGCTCAAGTTAAGATGACGGCAAATCGTATGTTCCCACTCGATTTGCAAAACTTGACTCATTCATGTTTCTCGACAAAATCGAAAGATGTGGGATGGTTATGGCATTTTCGTTATGGACATTTGAATTTTGGTGGACTGAAAACTTTGCAACAGAAAAATATGGTAGCTGGTTTACCTCAAATCACAACTCCTTCAGAAGTTTGTGAAGAATGTGTTATTGGCAAACAACATCGAGATAGCTTTCCAAAAGGAAAATCGTGGAGAGCAAAAAATGTCTTGGAGCTGGTTCACTCTGATCTATGCGGACCCATAAATCCGTCATCTAATGGTGGAAAACGTT